TTTTTCTTTTTTTTTTTTTTTGGCATGAATTATCTTTATCACTAAGGAGTCCAGTTCAGTATTCACTTAAGAATGAAAACCAGGGAAAGGAAACTTACACATGATTCAGTATTTGAAAGAACTGCAACCATTGTATCTTCTGAGTTTTCCTCTTGGCAAAGAGCAGAATCTTGAGCAACTGGATCTAAGAAGGGGGAAAAACACCTGGTCTTTCTAGTGGATTCTTCAGACTAAACATTTTTTTGTATTCCCTAGGGTGGGAGGATGATGGGTAAAGCACCCCTGGGTTCAATCCCCAGTACCAAAAAATAAAAAGGGGGGGGGGGGGGGGATACAAGTCTGTTTCTCCTACATACAACCCAGGCTCCTCTGTGATCCCAGATGTGTGTGTCTGAGAGGAAGGTCCCCCACACAAACTACACAATTCTGCCATGCATACTCCAGTGGACATTAGCTCAGTGTCCTTTAATCCAATTCAATCTGACACCATCTACCCGGAGAGAGCACCAGATTCCACAGGTTGAGGACTCAGTCCCACAACACTGTCCCCCATTTCAGATGCTAGCTTTAGCCTCTGGAAGTTCTGACCAATAGTTATAAATCAGATTTTCCCCAACCACCTCCTTGTTAGAATGGCTCACAGGACTCAGGGAAATACTTTTATTTTTACCTGTTTACTACTTACGATATTACAAAGGATATAAATGAACAGCCAGAGAGAAGAGCTGCTTAGGATAAAGCACTAAGAAAAGGCTCATAGTCTCTAAAAGGAGCCAAAGGCCTGGATGTGCCCAAATTTCTATGCCCTCTTCAGGTGTACCACCCCCTAGGAATGCCCACATATTCAGCTTGCTAGAGGCTTAGAACCCAGTCCTTTTGGGTTTTTCAGGTGGCTACATCATACCAGCATGATAAAATCACCAGTTGCGGGCAGAATGGCTCAATCTTCAGCAACTCTCCAGGATGCCCCAAATTCCAGCCCTCCCCCTCCAGAACAAGTTGGTTCCCATGGCAACCAGCCTCCCAGGGTGATGGTTAATTAGGGACTTTCCAAAAATCACTTCCTTGACAAACTCAGAGGTGACTGAAAGGTGCTTGTTATAAATAACAAAAAGACTGCATTTTACCTTGGGAGCTCTGCAGTTGTTTGGGGAACAAGTTTCAGGAATCCAGGAGAAAAGGATAAATAAATACTTTAACAAAAGATACTTACTGTGCCAGTCACTTAGGAAATGACAAGGTTATAGGAACTGTGAGCCAGGGACTGTGGATGAAAACTCATAAATATATCTCAAAATATTACTCTTGGTTTCAATTCTTTCAGGAAAAAAAGGCATGAAATTTTTCCCATTCTTTCAACAAAGAATAGTGAGACAGGTTCTTATAGTACCCCATAAGAACCCAGGCTTTCTTCCCTATCTTAACCCCAAATCCTTTCAATTCCTAATTTCCCCAAAACTGGTTTCCTTTCTTGCACAAACCCTCAGCTTCAAAATATTTAATTTACACAATAATGAGTCTTTGAATAGTTTTAAATTAAAAGATGTATTAAGGTAAAGGGCATTTTCCTTTTTTCTTATTAATGTGTTTACTTTCTAGTCTGAGCACAAGGCATGGCTCCAGGGTCACCCAAAGCTGTTTGTTTACCGAGGGAAGACATCAGCTAGTCCCAAGAACTGACTCCATTAATGGGAAACCCAGCAGATTCCTGCAGACTGAAATGAGGAAACTAAACTCACAGGAACTAAATGTCTGAAATTGACTTCAGGTGCCTTTTTCACATTTGAAGTATTTTTTTTCAAATCACATTTCTTGTGAAAAGATTTTTTCTGGCAGCTTTACCAACTAGACAATTAGAAAAAAATTAAAAATTAGAATTATGGAATCAAAATCAAAAGAGGGTTGTAATTTAAGAAAATTGTTCTTCCTCACAGGATGACAACAGTCAATTCTTTGTTTCCAGAAGCCTCTACACAGAAGCCCTAATTTGGAGAAGTGCCATGCTACAGTGACAGAATTTATTCCACCATGAGTTCTAGAATACATAAGGAAACAATGTTTACCACCATAGACTTAATCTGTTGTTACACGGATAACTGATGTGTTCAAAATGGGGGTTTCCTGACTTCTCTCTGATTTGTTTGTTATTGCAACATAGTGTTTTTCCAAAATTAGGGCTTCTAAGGGGAGGACACTGCAGGAAGAATTGATTGCCCACATTCTCTAAGGTACAAAAGTTTCCTGATGTTAATCTCTCATCTTTGATTACATGGTTCTAATTCTTTTTGCTTCCTTTGAGGAGTTTACTTTCATAACTTGAAATCCCCCCCACTTTCTTCCTCCATCTATAAATCTCACCTTCCTTTTCTTCAAGTATCTCACCATCCTTCTCTTCAAGTGTTTGGGTCAAATCTTCTATCAGGGCCACCATCTCCTCACTACTCTCAGGATGTTGTGACTTTACCCAAATCCTGATCTCCCCAGGCAAAACGGCCAGAAACTGCTCAAATACTAAGAGCTCTAAAATCTGTTCTTTTGTGTGAATGTCAGGTCTCAGCCACTGAAGGCAGAGCTCCCAGAGTTGAGTCAGGGATTTCCTGGGTCCAGCCTCTTCTGAGTAACAAAACCACCTGAATTTCTGTCTGAAAGACTCTGGGTCAGCTGTGTTTCCTTTTGAGATAGCTTTTTGGTCCTCAGGAGTTTCTGCTCCTGGGACTTTGTTGTGTTCACTTGAGGCCACCGTCACAGGATCTGGAGAGATGGCTGTCATCTTGTTCAGGGTGACTACAGCTTGCACTTTGTGAATCACAAGCAGGAATCCGGTCCCTTTAGACTATTGAAGTATCAGCACAGTCCACTAACAGGCACTATACGCAGCAAAACATCAAGGACTCCAGGGATCCAGTTTACAGTCTTGCAGAAACTGCCAAGAAGAAACAAAAGACATGGAAAAAAAATGAAATAAATTGTTGTTAATCCTGAACACATTGGTTTGGTTCAAATACATATAGTCATACATATAATCTCAGAGGCCTAGAATAGCCCTGCCCAAGTATTCTATTAAAAGGACAATTTCCTTTATAGGTCAAATGCTCAGGAGTTACTTAAGGATAATTAAAGATTTCCTCCCAGGAAGCAGCAAATTCAGACTTCATAATACTCCTCATAAACAAAATTTATCAGAAAAGGCTCCCTATTCCAAGGGGATGATGTCACAAATCTACTTAACTACTCCTACCATCTCTCAGTAGACAGCCATACATTTCCCACCAGTTGCCCAACTCAGAAGTCTGATCTCATATTTGACTACCAACTCTCTCTTCCTCCTTACTCTTCACATCCATTAATAGCCAAGTTCTGGCAACTTTATTTGCTAAGACCCTTTCCATTCTATTGCACTGAAACTGCCTAAGAACAGGTTTCTTCAATCTAGTCTCAAGGGATTTTTTTCTAACACACAAAAGTTGATCCTGTCACTCCCCTGTTTGTACTTCCTTACTGGCCAGCTGTTTCAGATAAAGTTCAATGCACTGGCCAGCCGTTTCAGATATAATTTCAATGCAGAGGGGTGTGCACAACCATCAAGAAACATGCCTGGCTGACCTCATCTCTCAAGCTCTAGCTAGCAGATTGACAGTGCAGCCATAAAGAAATATCCCCCCATTCCCCAGTCTATACTCTCCTATTCTTTGCAAGATGGCTATTCCCTCTCCTTGGACTGCTGCCTCCTTCAAGGCTCCTATCAAACTTTAATTCTTTCTTTAAAAACTGACTCTTGGAGGGGAGGGGCTG